AAGACTCTTTTTAAACAAATCCACCTGATCAAAAAAAAGAGAAAGAAAGAAATGCAGCCATCACCACAGACTGTCCAAAACAATGGCAGCAGCTTCCACTTACTGACCTTTGATCTGCCCGTGGTCATAAAAGCAGAAAGTGGTGAAGCCAAAATTTGAACCCAGGTCTGAGTCTAAAGCCCATGCTTGTAACTCTAAGCAATAATAAACAGGAAGAAAATGGAAGATCTAGGAAGCACCATTTTGCACTTAACCTGACACACCTCTGCATACATCTTTGCGAGTACTTAATGTGACCTGGCCTCATTTTTTTTTGGGGGGGGGGGCTCTTATTTTTATGCTTAATTATCTTGTGTACAAATTTGACCTTCACTCAATTCTTATTTAGGAAGGAATCATGGGATTAGAAAACATCACAGGTTATAAGCCTTGTATCTTTATATAGACTCAGTATTATAGTTTAGATCATGGGCTCTGGAAGGGAGTCTGGTCAAGTTCAAATTGTGCTGCTTCCACTTACTAGCAAGAGGACTTTGGCAATTTTGTAGCTTCTTTGTACCTTGATTTCCTCAGCTATAAACTATAGATAACAACAGTACCTACCTTATGAAGTCGAGAGTGATAATACATGTAAGATGTGTAAAATTGCTTTCACACATTGTATGCAGCCAGTGAATCTTAAACTATTACCATTATTACTACATCAGGTCTCCCAGATGTTGAAATTGAGAAAAATATCTTTAATAATTCTTTACACATGCTTTACAATCTAGAAATAGTACTCTTCCACTCAAAACCCCAGTTGTGGATTGGATGACAAAGTAGTAGGTGCTCAACAAACATCTAAAAATACGAATGAACTTTTTTCAGGTTTTTTTTTTTAAAGTCTTACAGTTTTATTTATCCATGAGAGACACAGAGAAAGACATAGGCAGAGGGAGAAGCAGGCTCCATGCAGAGAGCCCGATGTGGGACTTGATCCCAGGTCTCCAGGATCACACCCTGGGCCAAAGGCTATTTGATAGCATTTACCAACAGACTTTCAGAATTGGAGTCGATTCCCTCAAATCCTGCTGCTTTATCACCTAAGTTTATGTAATAGTCTAAATCCTCTGTTGTCATTTCAGCAGTTTTCACAGCATCCTCACCAAGAGTAGATTCCATCTTAAGAAACCACTTTCTTTGCTCATCCGTAAGAAACAACCCCTGGGGGGTGCCTGCAAAGCTCAGTCAGTGAAGTGTCTGCCTTTGGCTCAGGTCACGATCTTAGGCCTTTGGGATTGAGCCCCACATTGGGCTCCCTGTTGAGCAGGGAGTGTGCTGCTCCCTCTGACCCTCCCCCTGCATGTGTGCTCTCCTCTCACTAATAAATAAATACATAAAATCTTTTAAAAATTAAAAAGAAAGCAACTCATCTGTTCCAGTATTATCATGGGATTGGAGCAATTCAGTCGTGTCTTCATGCTCTACTTTTTAAAAAGATTTTATTTATTTATTTGAGAGAGAGTGGGGGTGTGTGTGTGTGCAGAGGCAGAGACTCTCAAGCAGACTCTGCAGAGAGCACAGAGCCGGATATGGGGCTCCATCAATAGATCATGACCTGGGCTGAAACCAAGAGCTGGATGCTTAACCAACTGTACTGCACCACCCAGGTGCCCCCTTCAGGCTCGACTTCTAAATTCTAGTTCTCTTGCTATTTCCCCCACATCTCTAGTTAGTTCTTCCACTAAAGTCTTGAACCCCTCGAAGTCATCCATGAGATGGAATAAACTTATTTCAAACTCCTGTTTTTGTTCCTATTTTGACCTTTTCCCATGAATCACAAATATTCTTAATGGCATCTAGAATGGTGTTTCCAGAAGCTTTCCAATTTACTTTGCCCAGATCCATCTGAAGAGTCTATCTATGGCTGCTACAGGCTTATGAGATGTATTTCTTAAATAATACAACTTGAAAGTTGAAATTTAAAAAAAAAATTTTTTTAAAGAAAGTTGAAATTACTCCTTGATCCAGTGGAGGTTATGCAGGCATGAAAACAACAATCTTGTTGGACATCTCCATCAGAGCTCTTAGGTAACCAGGTGTGTTATCACTGAGCAGTCTTATTTTAAAGGAATCTTTCTGAGCAGTAGGTCTCAAGAGTGAGCTTAAAATATTTATAGTAAACCATGTTGTAAACAGATGTGCTGTCACCCAGACTTTGTTGTTCCATTTACAGACACAGGAAGTAGATTTAGCATAATTCTTAAGGGCCCTAGGATTTTCAGAAGGTAAATGAGCACTGGCTTCAACTTCAAGTCACCAGCTGCATTAGCCTCTAACAAGAGAGCCAGCCTATCCTTTGAAGCCAAGTATTTCTGACTTCTCTCCTTTTACCATGAAGGTCCTAGAGGGCATCTTCTGCCAATAGATGACTGTTTCATCTGCACTGAAAGTCTGCTGCTGAGCGTAGCCACCTTCATGAATTATCTGAGCTGGGTCTTCTGGATAACCTGCTGCGCCTTCTGTCACAGCACCTGCCGCTTCCCCTTGCACTTTCATGTTACAGAGATGACTTCTTTCCTTAAACCGCATAAACCAACCTCTGCTTGCTTCTAACTTTTCTTCTGCAGCTTCTTCACCTGTCAGCCTTCATAAAATTGCAGAGAGTTAGGGTCTTGCACTAGATTAGGCTTCAGCTTAAAGGAGTGGTGTTTCTGGTTTGATCTTCTATCCAGACCACTAAAGCTTTTGTTAAAGCAACAATAAGGCTATTTTCACCTTCTTGTCATTCATGGGTTCACTGGAGGAGCACTTTTCATTTTCTTCAAGAACTTTTCTTCTGTCTTCACACTTGGCTATTTGGCACAAGCAGCCTAGCTTTCAGCCTATCTTGGGTTTTGACAAGCTTTCTTCACTAAGCTTAATCATTTGTAGCTTTTGATTTGAAGTGAGATATCTGACTCTTCCTTTCACTTGAACACTTAGAGGGTTAATTTCACTTGAACACACTGTGGTGTTACTGGCTTAATTTCAGTATTGCTGTGTCTAGGGAATAGGGAGGCCCAAGGAGAGGGGGAGAGACGGAGGAACAGCCGCTGAGTATGACAGTCAGAACAGACATAATATTTATTAAGTTCACCATCCTACATGGGTACAGTTCATGGCACCCGAAGACAATTATAACAGGAACAAAGATCACTGATCACAGATCACACTATAAGGAATAAAAAAGTTTGAAATACTGCAATTACCAAAATGTGACAGAAAGACACATGTGAGTGAATGCTGTTGGAAACACAGCGCCAACATACTTGATACGGGGTTGCCACAAACCAATTTGTAAAAAATGTAGTATCTATGAAGTGCAATAAAAGAAGGTATGCCTGTATGTGGCTTGTACCACTGGACAGGCTGTGCTGGTGTTTATACAAGAAAAATTACGGATAACTATTAAGGGATTGGTCAAATTAAAAATAGGTACCCATATAGTGTGGGATCCTACTTAACCAAAGAAGAGTGATGTAGATGAGGAAAGAAAGATGATCATATACTGTACATGAAAGTCCTTTCACATTTCCTTCTCCATCCCCATAATCAATCTGTCACCCAAGTTAATTTCCTAGATCATATTCATACTTATGTACATATCCCATCTGTCCTACCATTCTAAAGTACCATCAACGGTACAACGGCCTCCTATATATCCACATCAGCTCTGCTCCCATATCCATCATCTTCACAGTGCTGCTACATCAAAGACTACAAACTGGATGATGAAACCCTTCAATGGATTACTATACATTTAGTGTAAAATTCAAAATCCAAACCTCTGGATCAGGTCTACTTCATGCCACGCTCTTCTTTGCTCTCTGGCTTCCAGCTACACTAGCTGCCTCACATGCTTCTATCATCATAATGATTATCACTGTGTGTTTACCATGCACTTAAGGGTTTATAAGAATTATTTCATTTAATCCTCTCAATAAGGTAAGTAGTCATGATACTACCATTTGACAGATGAGGAACTGAAGCTTAGAAGAATTCATCAGCAATCTGCCCAAGGTCCTACTACTAGTTAAGTGGCTGGACTAGTTAAGTGGATAGACTAGGATCTGAATCCAGCTCTGAGTCCTGAATTCATTCTGACTATTCCCCTAGATTTGCACTGTTCAACGACATTTCATTTATTTGGACATTACTGATGATGCTTTGCACATATTACTTAAATAGCAATGTTCAATCAGGTGTTTCTATGTAGCAAAAAATTATTCAGCTACTCAAGACAAGACTTACTCTTAATTTCTATAACCCACCCAGTATAAAAAAGTGAAATGCTACAGTATTTCTAGAATTATGACTGTGGAATTTGAACTCACTGGCAATTTTGTTAAAATATCAGAAATAGAATGTAAACAGGCTTTTAAAATAATATTTCTGGCATCAGTCAATGACTAGAGAGAGAAATTAAGGTCGGAGACTTAGGAATTATTGACTTAGCATTTTGTTTTATAAATAGCATTCTAAAGCCCAAATCATCTGTCCAAGCTGTACAGCAAGCTAACAGCAATGCTGGAACCATAAACTTCCAGCCTAGTGTTTTCAGTTAGAGAATATTTCAATCAACTGGATAGACTGAGAATTGTACTACTATCCTATGTTTCAAACAGTAAGATGTAAAAAAACAGGTAATATTAAAGACTTTTTTTTAAGAGTCTTTCTAATTAATACGCTATTGACATTAAAGTTATCCTTCTATTTGCATTTGACTTATTTGCATTTAAAATTTAGAATAAAAAGGGATCCCTGGGTGGTGCAGCGGTTTGGCGCCTGCCTTTGGCCCACGGCGCGATCCTGGAGACCCAGGATCGAATCCCACATCGGGCTCCCGGTGCATGGAGCCTGCTTCTCCCTCTGCCTGTGTCTCTGCCTCTCTCTCTCTCTCTGTGTGACTATCATAAATAAATAAAAATTTAAAACAAAAAAAAAATTTAGAATAAAAAGAAATAAAGGAATACCTTTTTAGTCCATCTTTTTACTCCATTATATCCTTTGGTTACCAGCTGTCTGTGAAAAAAGCTGTTGAAGAAGTGAACCTAGAAGAGACATTAAATACAAGCACCCAGATTATATTAAGCTATCCCCAGATTTAACTTCAAAAAGAAAATGGAAATTTAAAATCCCTTGTATGTAAGGCAGACCAAAAGGTGAGGAAAAATTTCTTCTATAGAAAATGCATTACATGATTCACAAGATTCTGTTCCAAATTTTCTTAGAATAGCACTGTGGTCTATAGCCAGAACTGGAATGGGACAGTAAGGAAATAGATCACCTGAATTCAATCAAGTAGAGAAGCAACCTGACAAATCTCTCCAAATTAGGTGATAAAACTGAAAAAGGCTGAGAAAGAATGAGGTAACAGTACCTTGAACTCAAGGGGTATGGATTACAAAACTAACCTCCTCTGAAGGATGTGGATTTGCAGACTCTTTTTATATAAAAACTGTAATAAGGCCTTAACATGATCACTTCTAGCACTGAAAGAATTACCCGGTCACATGGAACTTCATGTCCTGGCTTCGAATTTCTGGCTTATAAATTACGATCAGCTCATCTGAAATAGTAAACATCTTGGGTCTTAAAGTGTTCACTCAGTAACTCTGATCTTCTTGAGATGAAAAAACATTCCTAGTGCTGAGATTATCAGGGTTACCAGATCAGCAGTTTCAGCATCACTTGGAAACTTGCTAAAATGCAAATTTTCAGGCGCCACCCCAGACCTCCTAATGCAGAAACTAAGGGTGGAGCCCTGGAGCCTGGTTATGATAAACCTTCCAGAAGATCTGAATGCATATTTGTTTTTAGAGCTCTGCAGCTTTGGGGTGCCTGGGTGGCTCAGTAAGTTGACCTCTGCCTTCAGCTCAAATCATGATCCAAGAGTCCTGGAATCCAGCCCCAAGTTAAGGCTCTCTACTCAGTGGAGAATGCTTCTCCCTCTCCCCACTGTTCCCTCTCCCCACTGTTCATGCTCTCTCTCTCAAATGATATCTCTAATTAAAAAAAAAAAAAACTGCAGCTTAAGATATCAATAAAAAGAGCTTGTAGTAGCTATTTCTAGAGCAGTGATTCTCAAACTTTGTGTGCATCAGAATCCTGAGGGCTGGGCAGCCCCGGTGACTCAGCAGTTTAGCATCACCTTCAGCCCAGGCCTGATCCTGGGGTCCTGGGATCCAGTCCCACATCAGGCTCCCACGTCAGGCTCCCTGCATGGAGCCTGCTTCTCCCTCTCCCTGTGTCTCTGCCTCTCTCTCTCTCTCTCATGAATAAATAAAATCTTAAAAAAAGAGGGCTTGTTAAAACAGATTGCTAGCTTTTGATTCAGTATAGGTGGGCTAGAGTACAAAATTTTGCATCTCTAGTAAATTTCTAGGTAACATTGATGCTGCTGGTCTGGGGACTGCACTTTGAGAACCACTGCCTTAGTAAGTGTCCTTTTAATCCAGTTAAAGGTTCAGAATTAAATGTAGAAGTAATGAAGGTAAATTATACCCTTGAAATTTTTTTTATACCCTTGAAATTAATACTTTTATGTTAAAAATCATGTGTGTTTAGGTTTAAACTTTCTGGTGATTAAGAGAATTTCACATAAGTGAGAAGTTATAAGACATTTTGTATATTCATAAAGTGTTAAAATCTCAGCTGCATTTTATTTACCTGTTTAAATGATTAGATTTATAAAAGTTTATAAAGTACTTGGAAAGGTTTTGTATGTTGAAATCAAAGGCTGCCCATCAGGCAATCTGGATACTCTGAAAAATTAACACATTAAATTAAAAAAATATTTTTAATAGTAAGTAAGCTCTTATGGGAACTGAGAGGCTAAGGGAGGGTTTGTTTGTATCCGAACACAGTATCAAAGATTAATCCACAAAAAAAGTGATATTTACTACATCTTTAAAGAGAATTAAGACTAATTTAAATTTAAAAGCCTGACACAGGGCAGCCCGGTGGCCCAGCGGTTTAGCGCCGCCTTCAGCCCAGGGTGTGATCCTGGAGACCCGGGATCAAGTCCCACGTCGGGCTCCCTGCATGGAGCCTGCTTCTCCCTCTGCCTGTGTCTCTGCCCCTCTCTCTCCCTCTGTGTCTCTCATGAATAAATAGATGGAATCTTTAAAAAAAAATAAAATAAAAAAATAAAAATAAATAAAAGCCTGACACAAGTAATACATCCCTTTTGTGCATCTCCCCACTATTAAAAAAGAGAAAACAAACTCAAAATGGAATCTTAGTGGACTTACGCTTAGCCCATGTCACCAAACCCAAAATACCTAACCAAATTACAACTTCAGCCTCTCCCAGAAACGTAGTCTTAATAGAATTACCTGATCAGACTGGGGTCTGATCTGCCCATTAGACCCCCCGTCTTCCCCTAAAGGAAGGTAACTTTGCTGCAATCTACTCTTTGCTAGTAACTTCTTGTCCTGCTCCCTTCTTCCGTACAAGTCTTGCACTTCATACAGCTCTTCAAAGCTCCATTTTACTTGTGAGATGCTGTCCAATTCATGAATCATTTTAATAAAGCCAGTAGGGTTTTTAAATATACTCAATTGACTTTTGTTTCATAAGACCATTTATTTAAAAAAATGGGGTGCCTGGCTAGCTCAGTCAGTGGAGCATGCAACTCTTGATCTTGGGGTTGTGAGTTTGAGCCCCATGCTAGGTACAGAAATTACTTAATGCTGGCATCTGATGTTTTTATGCAGAAATATTTTGTAGAACTTCTGCCCAGCCCTAGCATCTGAACAAGACAAAATCGAACCCTTTTAAAAATCTAAGGAATACCAAATAATTACATAAAGTTTTAAAAAAAAAAACACTTCAATACACAAGGATTCCCTCTCCTGAAGAAGAGTAACTTTTCACTTACTTTGTCTGGGACTGCATCCATTATCAGCTCACCATACATATTAATGACCTATAAAAAGTCAATATAAAACCAGCTTACTACAATTCTGAACATCCCACACAGAGTGAACATTAACATTTGGATACTGGGGTTGGTGAATGAGTCACTTTACTAAAGGGTAAAGAATCCTAGATTCCAAAAGATAACTGTGAGGCCAACCCAAAGGTTAATTATATTTTATTGTCCAACTTCCTCCACAACTTTTCCACACCGAGAACCTACAACAATATACTAACCTGGTCATTCAACCAATTCTGACCATCCAGAGTTGCCAGATCATCCATATCCAGCATGTGCTTGTTGTAGAAGATGCGGAAGTTGCATTTTTGATGTCTGGCCCGATAGTTTGTTATTTCTCTATTGATAAATGGTTTTCTGAAAAAGATTTTAAAAGAAAAGAAACATGAGTTCCACTTCATTTATTGCTAAGTATCTTCTTTTTTTAATTAAGAATAAAGTCATATATGCCAACAATTTTATTTTCAAGGGCTTAACTTAAACGTCATTGACAAACCTATTAGAAAAGTCTTCGTTAAAGACATCTTTTAGTCTTCCAAGGACATCTTTTTCACTGAGTGGGACCAAACTGCCATACTTCTTCATAACCTCATCTAGGAATCCTTAAACAAAGGAAGAAAATTTACAATGGAAAAACCATTTTCAGAAAAAGTCATTCTCCCAATACTTAACCTATATATTATGCTACAAAGAAATCTTTTATTTTTTTTATTTGTTTAAAATAGTTTTATTTATTTATTCATGAGAGACACAGAGAAAGAGAGAGGCAGACACAGGCAGAAGAAGCAGGCTCGGGATCCCTGAGTGGCGCAGCGGTTGGGCGCCTGCCTTTGGCTCAGGGCGCGATCCTGGAGACCCGGGATCGAATCCCACGTCAGGCTCCCGGTGCATGGAGCCTGCTTCTCCCTCTGCCTGTGTCTCTGCCTCTCTTTCTCTCTCTCTCTCTATGTATGACTATCATAAATAAAAAAGAAAAAAAAAAAAAAAGCAGCAGGCTCCATGCAGGAAGCCCGATGCGGGACTCGATCCCGGGTCTCCAGGATCACACCCTGGGCTGCAGGCGGCGGCGAACAGCTGCGCCACCGGGGCTGTCCCAAAGAAATCTTTTAAAAGTTACGTCTTATAGAGGATAAAATAAATCAGGCCCTCACCATTCCAATCTAAAGAGAAATTCCCTAAGGTATCATTTTACATTGGCTTTTTTTAAGACTTTATTTATTCATGAGACTGAGAGAGAGAAAGAGGCAGAGACACAGGCAGAGGGAGAAGCAGGCTCCATGCAGGGAGCCCAACGTGGGACTCGATCCAGGGACTCCAGGACCACGCCCTGGGCCACCAAAGGCAGGCACCAAACCGCTGAGCCACCCAGGGGTCCCTTCACATTGGCTTTTTAAGCTACTGATGCACTGTTAGAGAAGGAATGGCTAGCTCAAATGAAAGACTGACATCTTTCAATAGCTTAACCTTGAATGAAAAAAATCTTACCTCCTGAAGAGTGCAATCTAAAGAGTTTAATCACTTGATTAAATGTGTATCACATTTGGTAAGTGAAGGAGTTATCTTTTTAAAAATAATTGTTGAGATTGCTGTCACTGTATTATTTGTTAAATGTGTGTAAATTTCACATTTCATAGCAAGGGATAAATTCTAAGGTATTTTTAGTATCATATTATTTGGTGGATTATAGTTCTGATACTTAATAACCCCATCAGGTGAACTGAGTAACATCTGGTTAGACACATTTTAAGAGGGGAAACAAAGGGTGACCTCTTGGCCAGAACATAGGATAGTCTTCAGGTGGCTTCCAAGAGGATCCACTGAAGAAACATACCTAAAAAGGTCCTACGAAATAAAACCAATACAAAAGAAAGGGAGGAAAGGCTGAGAGGCTCACAATGCTGACTTAGGGTACCGATGCTGAATGGGGAGAGCAACAACTTAGTTAACCATCAGTCTGACAAGTCTCCAGAATTCAGATGGGAAGAATGAACAGTTAGCCACTTATTTTACCCGGCTCCCTTTCTAACTTCGAGAATGGCCTCTGGTACACATCGATACAAAATGAACAGAAAAGAGAACAAAGTGATTGTCCCGGGAACGGAGTGGTGTATTCTGCTGTTATTTTGAGGGAGGGGCAGACAAAGGGTGTGAAAAACCTATCTTCCTTCTGTTAGTCTCCACCAGAGGGCTCCCAATTTGAAAGACTTAAGAGCAAAGGTCAAGGGCAGCCCCAGTGGCACAGGGGTTTAGCGCCACCTGCAGCCCATGGTGTGATCCTAGAGACCCAGGATCGAGTCCCACGTCAGGCTCCCTGCATGGAGCCTGCTTCTCCCTCTGCCTGTGTCTCTGCCTCTCTCTCTCTGCATCTCTATGAATAAATAAAATCTTAAAAAAAAAAAAAGAGCAAAGGTCAGGATATAGTATATATATCCTATCTATATATAGAAAGGGACCCTTGTAGCTTGATAAGAGTAGGAATAAAAGATTTAGGGCTTGTAAACTAGAAACAGAGCATGTATTTGCCTATGAGTGTTTATAAGATCCTGTAGTTACCTAAGAACACCCATATGTCTACTGGGGAGAACTGAACAAAGATATGGAATCCCAACATCTGAGATACTGCGTTTGAGGAAATTTCATAGAAAATACTGCCACTAATAACAAAAGATTAAACTGTAGGCCCAGCAACCTTAACTGAGATTCCTCAAATAAGAAAGCAGTCTCTATCAAAGGGATACGGACCCCAATTCTAAACCAGTAAAATGGGAAAGAGGTGTTAACAACAATATTTTTATCTATGAATATTAGTGTTTGGAGATATTATTGTTTTCTTCCTCTTATCTGCATTTTTGTTTTCACCTTCAGATGACAAACATGGACTTCTAATGCAATAGAAAGGCCCTACCTGGATCTTCAAGAACCCTTCACAGAGATACATCTTCACTGGGACCAGAAGTTAAATGGCAGTCAAATAGTACGATCATAAACCAAGCATTAATACGTCTCATTTCCCCCTTATATCTACCCTGTGTTAGATAGCATCCCTACTTTCCAAATGGAGATAGGAAGCTTAGGGAGGTTAAGGAACTTTCCCAAGGACCCTTAACTAGAATATGGCAGAGTGAAGATTCTGATTGTGGTTATGTGTTTTTTTTTTTTTTTTTTTTTAAGATTTATTTATTCATGATAGAGAGAGAGGCAGAGACACAGGCAGAGAGGGAGAAGCAGGCTCCACGCCGGGAGCCCGACACGGGACTCGATCCTGGGACTCCAGGACCGTGCCCTGGGCCAAAGGCAGGCGCCAAACCACTGAGCCACCCAGGGATCCCCTGGTTATATGGTTTTAACCACGGAAAGTGAACCATTAACTATTATACTGTACTACATCCAAAGCAGGAAAGACGTATTAGCTTTTCTCTATAAAAGCAGCTTGTTCTTTATCTTTCCCTTTAACACCTATTGGCCAAGAAGTACCCAGAAAACTTCTTAAAATGAGAATTAAATCCATTTTCTTTACCCACTTGCATTCACCAAATAAACCAAAAAGGAAAAATGCATCTGGAATACATAATTTCTCTTACTCTCAAAGTGCTAAAACTTCAATGTGACCAAGAACCAAAGGACAAAATGTTAGGGGGGAAAAAAAACTAGAATTCAAATTAGAGTCCATCCTGCAAGTACAAAAGGTAATGATATGGCTCTTTTCTTCACTGGCTGATTGAAGCTTGGCCTTGGCCACCATCATGAATGATACAGTAACTACTGGGACCAGAAAGTTCATAACCAATGGACTACTTCAGCTGAAACAAAATGGTCACTGTTCTTCTTCACCCCAGAAAGGCAAGAGTACCTTAGACAGAAATTTGGTAAACACTAGCCAAAATGTACAAGACCACAACAGATGTCATTTTGCATTTGAATTCACAACCCATTTTGCTGGTGGCAAGACAACTTTTTTGGTATGATTTATGATGCCTTAGATTATGCAAAGAAAAAGTGAACCCAAACAGACTTACAAGAAATGACCTATAGGAGAAGGAAAAAAACCACTCAAGCAGACAGCAAAAGGAACACAAGAACAGAATGAAGAAAGTCAGGGGGACTGCAAAAGCAAATGCTGGTGCTGGCAAAACGGAGTAAAGATTCTGCAGTGACTTTATCTGTGCTGACTGTGCAGATTTTTCATGAGGATTAATAAACTAAGAACTTAAAAACACAAAAAACCCCCACAAAAGGTAATAATATGAAAAAACCTAAAGTGTCATTTCAGAAGTTAAATTGTTCATGTTTGGGAACCCTGGATGGCTCAGTCGTAGACAGTCTGCCTTCGGCCCAGGGCATGATTCTGGAGTCCCGGGATCGAGTCCTGCATCAGGTTCCCTGCATGGAGCCTGCTTCTCCCTCTGCCTGTGTCTCTGCCCCTCTCTCTCTCTCTCTCTCTCTCTGTCTCTCGTGAATAAAATCTTTAAAAAATAAAAATAAAAAAGTAAATTGTTCATGTTAAACCAACTGTATCAAACAGTTTTTTCTTGAGGCAAATGCCAGATCACATCCCACCATGAATGTGGAATGGGATTCACTGTGTTGTGCATACAAGAAATGTCCTATCAAAAACAAGGAAGGTGTGGGGTGCCTGGCTGGCTCAGTTGGTAGAGCTTGCAACTCTTCATCTTGGGGTTATAGGTTCAAGCCCCACATTGGGTGTAGTGAGAGATTACTTAAAAACAAAATCTTAAAGTAAAATAAAAAAGGCATGAAATATCTAAGACTAAACTTAAGGAACATGCAAACCTAAATGAAAAGCACAAAATTCTAGTAAAGGACATTGGTCAATAAATGCAGTAATTCTTTGTTTTCAGACCAGAAAACTCAGTATTGTAATGACTGCAATTTTCCCTAAATTAGCCTATAAATGTAATGCAATACCAATCAAAAGCCATTATTTTTATTTAATTGAAAAAACAAATCTTGGGGGGACCTGGGTGGCTCAGTAGGTTAAAAGCATCTGCCTTCGGCTCAGGTCATGATCCCAGAATCCTGGGATCAAGTCTCACAAGGAGCTCCCTGCTTGGGGGGGGGGGGGGGGGGGAGTCTGCTTCCCCTTCTCTTTCTGCCCCTCCTCCCTGCTTATGCTCCCTTCCTCTCTCTTGCTCTCAAAATAAGTAAATCATTTTTAAAAATGTGAAAGGACTAAAAAAAATGAAAAAAAAATCTTGGGACCAAAATGTGAGAAATTCCTAGAAATTTTTGAAAAGGATTAATGAGAAGAGATGAATAAGGGAGGGCAAGAGAGAAGGAGAACCTAGTCCCATCAAATTATAAACCTAACTACTGTAATTAAGGCAGACTAGTGGTAGCACAGAAATAGAAAAACCAAGTCAGAAAGAGACCCAACAGGTAACAATTCATAACAAGGAAAAGATGAATTATTCAACTATTAACTAAATCTCTTATTTACAATTGGAATTCATTTTGATGTGAAGAATGTGGTAGGGATCCATCTTTACCTTATTCCAAATGGCAAAATATAAAAATTACACATTAATAGTCTAGAAGAAAACAGGATTGAACATTTTTATAAACTTAAAATAGGAGCAAGCTTTCATTTTAAAATTAAATTTTAAATTTTATGACTTGTTATATGTCCAAGATTTTAAAGTTTACGGAGTCAAACTGGTATACTGCTTCTGAGTTTCCTATCTATACTTTAACATATATTATCAATGTGAGATTATAAAATGGTCTTATATTTATTTTTAATAGCTTTATTGAGTTGTGATTTACATCCACAAAATCACTCCTAAAGTGCACAGTTGTGTCCCCCCCCCTTTTTTTGTTTGTATATTCAGAGCTGTGAAACTGTTCCTACCACCTAATTAAAGAACATTTGCATTACTCCACAAAGAAAATGTGTACCTGTTAGTCACTCCTCATTGCTCCCTCTCTCCAGCCCCTAGCAACTATTAACCTACTTTCTCTATCTCTATTTGCCTGGACATTTCATATCAATAGAATCATATAATATGTAGCCTTTTGTGCCTGATTTTTTTCCACTTAGCATTTTTTTCCCAAGGTTCATCCACACTGAAACATATAGCAGTACTTCATTTCTTTTTATGTCAGAATATTCCATGTAAAAATGCCGAATTTTACTTATTAGTTGATGGACATTAAGGTTGTTTCTACTTTTTGGCCTTGATGAACAATGATGCTATGAACATCTGTGCACAAGTGTGCCTGTATTTGTTTCTAACTAAATTTTTAATACATCAGGAATATATTGACATAGGAATCTATTTCTTTTCCTTCCAAAACCAATTCTATGCAAGATTTCATACAATTATAGAAACAATAAGTAAATTGTAGTAAGTATAACTGGCTCATGAGAAATGTATCCATCTACTGCAGTGAGCCTAACTTGCAGTTGTATTAGAGGAGAGCCAGCATTCAGCATACCGTGGACTTACTATTAGCCAACGCTATAGAAGTCCGTTAAAGGAGCATCTACTATACTGCTGGTCCCATATTGATTTCCATTCTAATTGCTCTATTAATCCTGATTACTCAGGTCCTTTTATTTGTTGAATTAGTCCTTTTCATTGTGCTGCGTTTCCTCAGATGTTTGGTGACAGACTGTGAACTTATCTCTACTTGGATAATTTGCTGATGTGGGGATGGCTGTGATGGGCAGTGGCTTATTGCTCTGCCTTTAACTCTTTAAAGCAGGCATGGAAATGCTAATAAGCAAACCCCCAAAATGGTGCTTCTGGTTCTTCTTTTTCTCCTTTAACCTAATAAAATAATGAATTACTTTACAGATCATCATGTGTGCATTCTGTAAAAATTCCTATTTCCTCATGTCATCCTATAGTTTCACGGATGCCACAGTCAATGTATCAATTGTCCTTGGAAGTGCTACATCTCTATAAGTTAACTGTTAATTGGTGTCTGTGCATAAATGCTCACTTTTCCAGGTTCATATATAACATCATGGTTCTGCTAACTTTATACTAGGGAAATTTGTCTTTCCCTATTCTAGTACAGTATAAACATCAGAAAGTTTTGTTTTTAAAAGATTTACTAGGACTCTTTTGTGAAGAAAAACTTTTTATACACACTTAATGGTTAGGAAAACAAAATGTTCAGAAATATTTAAACTACCAAGAATCAATTCTCCTAACTCTCCAGAAAAAGCCCTTTATAACAATTTGATAGGGCTGCCTGGGTGGCTCAGTCAGTTGGGCACCTGACTCTTGGTTTCCACTTAGGTTGTGGGATCGAGCCCCATGTTAGGCTCCATGCTCAATGGGGGAGAGTCTGGTTCCCCTCTCCCTCTGCCCTTCTGCAGCTCTAAAATAAACAAATCTTTTTAAATATTTAAAAAAGGGGATCCCTGGGTGGCACAGCGGTTTGGCACCTGCCTTTGGCCCAGGGCGCGATCCTGGAGACCCGGGATCGAATCCCACATCGGGTTCCCGGTGCATGGAGCCTGCTTCTCCCTCTGCCTGTGTCTCTGCCTCTCTCTCTCTCTCTATCATAAATAAATAAAAAAAATTAAAAAAAATATAAACATTTAAAAAGAAAAAACTTGATATCTTTCCAGCTATGACCCATACAAATGCACATGCACACATATACTTATCCTACATGTATGCATCTATCTCTTAACAAAATGGCATCATTCTGTTTTGCAACTTGCTTTTTTTCCTTTATATAGACAGCTTTCAGTTTCAAAATATAGCCTGAAGTTTTTTCTTTAACAGCTTTGTAGTGTTCTATAGCCTGGATGTGCTGTAACTTATACTTCCAGAGAAACTTTTCTTTTTTGGTTGTCTCCAGTTTTTTACTACCAGGAGAATACTCTAAGCCATACTGTCTTCCAAAAATGTTTACATCAGCTTACTCATGGGGCATATTTTGACAAGAAAATGTTTTTAAAGTATGATGTAAAAGCTGGAAGCCATAAAGACAGATAAGTTTCACAATGAAGAACTGATTTCCTTTAAGCAAAATTCCTCCATACAAAGTCCAGGTATTTTACCTTTGGGAAAGTAAAAACTTAAAATTTTTATGATATTTATTATAATTAAACTTTAACATTTCAGAATGATGCCAAGATCCAGGAAGGTAGGAATCAGTGCTCACTGCTTAGGACTAGCATTACGATGCCTGGCATATTAAAAATTCCCATAATCAAATAAAATATAAATAACCCAAAAGAAAAACGGGCAAAGGAATTTTATATACAAACAAAAAATGAAAACAAAAACAAAAAATGGCCAATAACAGAGAAAAGGATGTTCAAATTTTAAACTTAAAAATGCAAATCAACAAAAACAAAACGCAAATCAAAACAACTCTTGGGGCACACCTGGGTGGCTCAGTCAGTTAAGCATCTGACTCTTGATTTTGGCTCAGGTCATGATCTCAGTGTTGTGGGATGGAGCCCCACATCAGGCCGGAGTCCATGCTCATAGAGATGTTTGCTTGAGGTACTCGCTCTCACTGTCTTTCTGCCTCTCCCCCGTCCCCCACCTAGCAAATACAGCTCTCGCAAATAAATAAAATCTTTAAAAAACAAACTCTCATGATCTAGAAGATTAATAAAGTTTAACAAGTGTAAACTGGTTCAACTTTTTGGAGGGTAAGGTCACAATTTTCTTTCTTTAAGTGTGTTCTTTCACCATCAATTCTCCTACTACAAATTTACATTAAAAAGTATGCGGAAATAATTTCATTGCACCATCATTTATAGAAGGAAACAAATGGAAGCAACACAAATGTCTATCAACCAGTACTTAAATTATGGAACATCTACATCATACAGCAATATAGAAGGCTTCAGAGAAAGTCTAACTGCTTTAAGGGATATCCATGTGTGGAAGGAAAAAACAGGACTCTTCTAGAAAAGATAATGGGCAGCAATTGTGGGCTGGAGGTTGGGGGAGAATAAAGGAAGAGTGCATACCAGAAAGGCAGATTGATAGCTGCTCATCATCCACTGGAGAGGCTTTCTGACTGTTCTTCCCACTTCCTGCTTGATTTTCTAGTTTGAGTCCACTGCATGTCAGAGGAGCCTCCAGTGGACTTTTACAGTAAGGGTGGTCCAGCAACTTAGAACTAAGAATGTTCTGCTTGAGAGATCCATCCTCATCCATCTGGCATGAGCTCTCATTCTGAACAGTCTTTTCAGACACAGGCCCATCTACACTACTCACAGATTGATCTGCCCCACACACTGACAGTTTTACTCTGTCATCACTGACAGTACTTGTCCGATTTTCCTGACCCAGAGTCATGACTTCTCTTTCGGTTTCCGAGATAAACACATTACTAGAATGATGTTCTGGTAAGGGGATGTCATGAATCAGCTCTGTACACTCCCACTTAGGAGAGGAACAGGGGGAGTGGTCCCAGGTATATGTGGCACTGCCATTCTGTTGGTCAGGGGAGGTTTCATCTAAACTAAGCTCCTTGCCCAAGAAAGGGCTTCCTTTAGTGTGGCCATCAGGCAAATGAGAGTTCTTTCCCTTCACCACAGCATTGCTGTCCATATCTGGAAAGTACGGTTGATGCTGACAAGAAGGGTCTTTAGGTTCTGGGGAAGGGAATGGGCTGCAATTGCCACCCTCACCGTTTTCCCTAAGGGTCTCTTGATGGTCCCCAGTGACCTGCACCCAGCTTCGCTGGGCTTTTTTTAGCTTGCAAACTTTGCTTTTTGTTCTGAAGTGCTGGGATCTGAGAATCCTGTACCGAAATCTAATCATGGATAATTTCTCATACATCATAAAAGGAGATACTTTTATTCTTCTAGGTTGGTTAAGCTGAAACTTTTTTGGAATTAGGGGTCCCCCATTCCTGTGGTGTTCCAGACCTTGGTAGCAGCCATAACAAAAGCGCTTTCTCTTATGGTTGCTCAAGGTGACCACAATTGTGCCACTCTCACCTGGACTTTGGCTCTCCCCATTGAACTTCATAGGAAAGTCAGAAGCTTGTGGCTCCGTCCTAGGTCGGTGACCATTGGCCTGACCTAAAACATTATTTGCTGGTAAGTCAGCAACAGCCTTCAAGATACTTTTCTCTCCACAGTATTCATGGTCAGAGTTCTTTGCTGATGGCAGCAGCCTCTCTGCTTGGAGTCTCAGGAGGGTCCTTGAGGACGAAATGAAGTGTTTAGAGTTTTTCCTTTTCACTTTAGTGGACAAAGTACTAACATTTTGAGCAGCCACACTGGACTTTGTCTTAGCAAAAAAAGGTGCATCCTGGATCCACGTGTTCTGGATTTGAAGGGCCTTCTTTCTGCACTGAAAATGCCTCAACTGTCTGCTGCAAGTAATTGGCCTTCCCAATTTGGCTTTCAGAATGCACAAATGTTGGTGAAAGCAGAACTTCTTAAAACCTCCAAACCCTGTATTCCATTTCTCAGAAAAGGCTAAATGGATTCCTTTCCTCCATAGAATTTTCTTCTGCTTTTTCATTTTTCTGATGCATAATGAGATCCTGATGCAGCTGTGAAGAGAAAGAAAAGTTACACTTCTACCCTAAAAATAAAGTCATAAGGATATAATCATAGCAACAGAAGATGCAGAATTCAAAGAAAAAAAAGGGCATATGAAGTTCAATTTGGACTATCAGACATAATGAAATCCTTACCTGATCAAGGTTTTCCCCATAGTAAAAACTGGAAACATGAATACCCTCACATGACCCCATTTGGTATAGCTGCCTCTGACAGAAATAAATTTCAAGAATCATTTCCATCAACTTTTGATGGAGTAAATAAAGCAAGGTAGGGAAAGCAGAAGAGAATCTTTAATTATTGGCAGTACTTCTCATTAGCTAAATGACTTTAACTAAGTCACCCAACTTCTGTGTTCTCATTTATAAACTGAAGTATGGGTAAGGGAGGGGGAACCACAAAGCACTTAAGACTGATTCCATATCAAAACACTTTGTTCCATACATCAAATTTTAGAAAGGGCAGGTACTTTTTGCTGTGAATAGACATCCAGAAGCAGATATTCCATAAATGTATGCAGTATCAGTATTTCAAGAGAAGATCAGCCTCCTCTTTGTCAGTCAGTCAAAAACTTTGAGTGACTTGCAGGGTTGAGTGTCTATTGGGTGCTTTCACACGGTTAGGGTTCTGGCTCTCAAGTGAATAGAAGTAAAAAAGCACACCTGTGTGCGCGTGCATACACAAACCCTGGGAACACAGTTATTAGGAATGGTAGCTGAAAATGACAATCAAACCCAAACAGAATTTCCCCTACAATTTAATAGGATCTAGTATTACTGGGCAGCCCCGGTGGTCCCAGTGGTTTAGCGCCACCTTCAGCCCAGGGCCTGATCCTGGAGACCCGAGATTGAGTCTCACGTCGGGCTCCCTGCATGGAGTCTGCTCCTTCCTCTGCCGGTGGTGTCTCTGCCTCTCTCCCTCTGTGTTTCTCATAAATAAATAAATAAAATCTTAAAAAAAAAAAAAAAAAAAAGATCTAGTATTACTGAAGTCTCTTCAGCATAGAAAGAAAAAACTAGACTATGAATCAAAGAAACAGTACTCTACTTTCAGCTTGCTAATAAGTTATTAAGAAAAGTTGTACTACCTTTCTGTGCATCAGTTTTCTCGGGGGTGGAGGGGGGGGAGAACTGAGCAACATTTATCCCAGTTCCCTCTCCAAATTCCATTAAGATGACAGAAATGGGATTTTAAGAAAGGCAAAAACTCTCAAAGAATTAAAAAGGAGACAAGAACAATACAATTTTGAAAGAAAACCTATAACTGAATGATCACAGACTTAGCAGGCCAAGAGAGTGAAAACTCTAAAGCAGCAGGAGGAGAGGCCCAGAAGCAAGTCACAGGACCTCAGAAAAGCTCAGGAACTGAAAGCAACAATACCCATGAAGGGCAAGATTAGAAGGAGCTCAAGAAGGGAAGGACTGGTTGAAAGTCTGAATAAGAAGCAGTTAGGGCATCCCTGGGTGGCTCAGCAGTTTAGCCTTCGGCCCAGGGCATGATCCTGGAGTCCCGGGATCAAGTCCCATGTCAGGCTCCCTGCGTGAAGCCTGATTCTCCCTCTGCCTGTTTCTGAATAAATTCTGAGTCTCTGAATAAATAAATAAAATCTTAAAAAAAAAAAGAAGCAGCAGCAGCAGCAGTAGTTAGATCCCACCAAGCGCACTCTCTTTATCCTGACAGTTTTACTTTCTGGGGAGGACAAACCAGGATAGTCAGGCACATCATGTACTACGGGGGGCAGGGTTACAACAGGATATAGGACTTTATACAGTGAATTCCTTCCCCAGCCCCTTTCCCCATTTAGCTCCCAGAACAGAGGTTATAAGCCCCAAGGAGGAGATTAACCCTGAGGCACAGATACTGATATTTGGGGATGCTTCAACTAATAAACAGGCCTCAACAATTACAGTGTACCCCAAAGTTTAAGAAGCAGTGAGACTGCCAAAACCCTCCCCCAACTCCATACAGCAGGAATTTGCCCCTCTACTCCCCAAGTCTGTAAGTTTATTCTTCAAAAAGGGTAAAACTGAAGCTCTGCAGCCACAGGGATCCCAGGCATAATATCAACATAGAATAATACACTGAATATAAGAACCCCAACATTTTTCCACTCATATCTCAGAACCCTGGTAGTTTGCCTTGTGCATTCAAGTAGGAGATTAGAAGATTCTTCTCTGGAGAATCTGATTAGTCCACCAAACAATACATAAATACAGATATCCCCCCTGACTGGCCCACAATGGGCCACAGTGCACCACAAAGTTGTGCACCACAGGTCCCATCACATGCTCAGAATTTCCAAGCAACCTCTTAGTGGTTATTCTTTAAAATAATAGGATAACAAAGATTCACCAGACTTCTAAGGCTTGAAAAGTAGACCAGAACAAACAGATTGTAGAAGTTTTAGCGTTTTTTAGAGAAGTCATTTTGAAAAAACGAAGGGGAAAGGGGAAGGGGAGTTATTGGTTAATGGCTACCGAGTTTCAGTTTAAGAAGATGAGAAAGGTTCTGAAGATGGATTATGGCCATGGTTGCACAACAATGTAAATGTATTAATGCAACTGTACACAAAAATGATTAAAAATGGTAAAAGTTATGCTACGGATATTTTACCACATACACACACACAAAAAAAAAACAAGAGGAAAAAAAAAAAGAAACTAACACTATCTACAAAGAAAAATAAACATCGGGATCCCTGGATGGCTCAGCGGTTTAGCTCCTGCCTTCTGCCCAGGGCGTGATCCTGGTATCCCAGGATCGAGTCCTAAATCGGGCTCCCTGCATGGAGCCTGCTTCTCCTTCTGCCTGGGTCTCTGCCACTCTCTCTCTCTCTGTGTCTCTTGTGAATAAATAAATAAGATCTTGAAACAAAAACAAAACATCCACTGGGGGAGAGACAAAGAATAAGCTGATATATTTTTTAAGGCACAATCAAAAACAACAAAGTGACCTTGGAAATTTAAAACAGAATTGAGGGGGATCCCTGGGTGGTTCAGCAGTTTAGTGCCTGCCTTCAGCCCAGGGCATGATCTTGGAGCCCCGGGATCGGGCTCCCTGCATGGAGCCTGCTTCTCTCTCTGCCTCTCTCTGTGTGTCTCTCATGAATAAATAAATAAAATAGAACAGAAAAACTCAATAGAAAGTAAACGGCTGGGACACCTGGATGGCTCAGTCAGCTAAGTGTCCTTTTCAGCTCAGGTCTTTGGATCAAGTCCCGAGTCAGGTTTGTCCCTCCCTCTCCCTCTGCTCCTTTCTCTCTCTCTCTCTCTCTCTCTCTCACACACACACACAAATAAATAAATATATAGTTAGATAAATAATTTTTTTTCTTTTTTTTGGAAAAGGCAGAGGGGTATGCCCAGGTGACCATCAGTTGAGCGACCAACTTGATTTCATCTTAGGTCACAATCTCACAGTGGTGAGATAGAGCCCCACATCAAGCTCTATGCTCAGTGGGAAGTCTGCTTGATTCTTTCTTTCCTTCTCCCTCTGCCCCTGCCCACACCCCTGCTGCTTGTGCTCTAAATCAATCAATCAATCAATCTTACAAACAGAACCAAAAAAAAAAGCCTGATGGAAAAATGTGAAAAAGGCATAAGGAGACAATTCACAAAGATTTTTAAGTAGCCCTTAAACATAAGATGTTAACTTTACTCAAAAAAAAAAAAAAAAGGGATCCCTGGGTGGCGCAGCGGTTTGGCGCCTGCCTTTGGCCCAGGGCGCGATCCTGGAGACACAGGATCGAATCCCATGTCGGGCTCCCGGTGCATGGAGCCTGCTTCTCCCTCTGCCTGTATCTCTGCCTCTCTCTCTCTCTGTGTGTGACTATCATAAATAAATAAAAATTAAAAAAATAAAATAAGAAAATTTAAAAAATTTAAAAAAGGGCAGGAGTGGGGGTGGGGAGATGTACAAAACGGGTAGAGGAGGTCAAAAGGTACAAACTTCCAGTTATAAAGTAAGTCATGGAAATGTACAGCAGGGTAATACTTTGTAATGCTGTACTGTATATTTTAAAGTTGCTAAGAAAGTAAATCTTAAAAATCCTCATCACAAGAAAAAAAACTTTACTACCATGTATGGTGGTGGATATTAACTAGACTTATTACAGTGATGATTTTGCAATGTATATAAATAGCAAATCATGTTTTACAAGTGAAACGGACATAATGCTAGATGTTAGTTACACCTCAATAAAAACACCAGCAAAAATTATGACCACACATTCTTTTGTTGGGAGGAAAGAAACTTCCATACTTTGCTGGTAGGAATACAAACTAATAAAATCCTTTTGGAAGGGAATTTGGTATTACCTAACAAAACCAGATAAGTATTTGCCTTTTATTTTATTTTTAAAGATTTTTGTTTTATTTATTCATGAGAGACACAGAGAGAGAGAGAGGCAGAGACACAGGCAGAGGGAGAAGCAGACTCAATGCAGGGAGCCCGACGTGGGACTCGATCCAGGGTCTCCAGGCTGAAGCCGGCACTAAACGGCTGAGCCACCGGGCTGCCCAAGTATTTGCCTTTTAATCCAGCAACCCCACTTTTAGTAATTTATCAAGCTACACCTCCAATAATAGTGAAAAGACATAATACAAGGTTATTCACTGCAACACTGTAATTGCAAAATACTTTAAACCCACAAGAACAGAAGTTGAATAAAGTATGGTTCTTCCATACAATGAGTGAAGCTATAAAAGAGTAAAGATAGGGGCATCTGGCTGGCTCAGTTGGTAGACATGCAACTCTTGATCTTGGGGTTGTGAGTTCAAGCCTCACGCCGGGTGTAAAGATTACTTTAAAAAAAGAATAAAGATGAACTCTATGAACTAACATGGAATGATTTCCAGGTTAGGTGAAAAAAGTAAAGTTCAAATAAGTACTGATAGTATGCCACCATGATAGTGGCACACAGATACCAACTGCAAGCTCAGAGAGTTCACAAAACCACCCTCAGGTTTGATAATTTGCCAGGACTCACAGA